ATCCACCACAGCTTCATGGATCCGGGAGAAACAGTAACAGCCGAAAAGTTCTGCCAAGAAATTGACGAAATGCATCGAGAACTCCAGCTCACGAGCCCGGCACTGGTGAATAGAAGGGGGCCAATTCTACTCCATTCTACGCTCAGCCTCACGTCGCACAACTTACCCTGAGAAAATTGATGGAGCTAGGCTATGAAGCTCTCCCGCATCCACCATATTCCACAGACCTTGCTCCCATAGACTACCATTTCTTTAAACATCTCGACGCTTTCTCAAGGAGAAATGCTTCAAAACCCAACATGATGCTGCCGCGGCATTCGACGATTTTATCGCCTCTAGATTTCCTCACTTCTATGCGAATGGGATACTCGAACTTGTTTTTCGTTAACAAAAGTGTGTCGATAGTAATGGTTGTTATTTCGATTGATGAAGTTTCGTTCAAGCCGAGATATATGCATTTGAATTTTGAGGCGCAAAACCGCAAGAACTTTCTTCACGACCTAATACATACAATGTTCTCGTTTCATAGAAGTCCGGTGTTGAATTTTCATCTTGTGTGGTAACGTTGGAGCGTTATCGAGTTAGCTGGGACTAGTTCATTGGAACGGAGATAGGACAAGGTTCTCCACAAATGTCGTCTTTCAATGCTCTTGCATTTATATAGCTATCATTAGGAAATAATTTTCTTCCGCACAATGCTCTTAACCCTTTTTCATTTTCACGGGCTGTTGCTTTGTTAGAGTTCTATAGAGCTGCCGTGGTATCCAACTGGAGTCGTCCGCGTGGTGACCTAGTTTCAGCTCGGTGACCGCGTTGGCGGCTTCGGTTCATAGGCCCAGGCTTTTTGCAGCTAGCGCTCTCAGGAGTACGTTGATATATTACTGATCCAGACGATTATGTTCAGGTGGACGAGTAATGGTATTGTTCTGTTCGGCTCAGCAGCTTATACATATGTGAAGAAACAGGAAATGGACAAAAAGGTGAGTTTATAGCGCAGTCTGATCGAAGCTTTTGTTTACCGTTTTTTGACCCGTCTCACGGCTTTTAGGTTGGAGTCAAAAAGTCAATAGATAGGCGGCCACTGTTGAACCCTAAAGCGGATGACGATGAAGGTGTTGTATAATGCTTTTGTAGGTTCTGTTCAGTCGATGTTTCTTATAGATTTCACTTTGGAGCACTTTTGTTTCTGAGATCTAAATTATTACGTTGAAACTTTCAGTACCTTTGTTTATGTGCAATTTCCTTTGTTCATACCTGTGTATTGCCCATTCGTTGTACATATCATTGAAAACCTTTAAGTTCAAAGCTTTCATTTGTTGTGTTCTAATCACGTGACCTCTGTGATATTAATACTAACTGGAACTGGTTCAATACAACTTTAATATTCATTTTCTTGTTCAAAGTATCTGTCCGGTTTGGGATTCTATATTATCTATGAATTCTTGGAACCATTTCAGAAAGATGCAAACTCTAGTGATGGTTTTTGCAGGGAGAGCAATCAATCGAACCTACAACATTACAGAGGTTCCCAGAAAGGAACCTCTGTAATGTTGTAGGTTCGCAGCCACCATCCCTTTTTATGAAGCATATAAAACATTTGTAGTTGCTAAATTTTTGAAAAGGAACGGCCAGAATAACATCGACATGGGGTTTCAAAAGAGAGGAGCCTGGCATAAATAGGCGAAGGCAACTGGTACTCAATACCTTCGATGCCTTAGATGGTACGTACTAATGTTGTCGAGTGATGGTAACATTGCCGGAGTCGTCCATGATTACTGGCAGTCGGTAAGTCATGTTGCAGCTGATAGCGGCTGATTTAAGAAAAACGAGAATCCTCTTCGAGTCGCCAATCTTGCATTCAATGTAATGTTGTAAGTTGTAATAATAATCGAATAGCCATGTATGAACAAAATCTCGGGTTCCTTATATGGAGCTGACTTTAACTGGTTACTATCACTGCTAGTGCTACCTTTGTTAACCTACACTACCATCCCGTCTTGTCGTCTTGCGTTTACCGTACAGCCAAGGCCACGACGTAAATATGAATGGAAGTTTTGGGCTGACTAAATCTTGCCTTTTGGGATCAACCTTTGATAGCTTTGAAAGCTATGCCAGCGGTAGTAGCATTATTCACTCCATTCATGACACTCGTATGGTGTAGGTCAGGTGCATATGTGTGGACCAACCCTTCCGAACTCCTCCATCGACGTCCTCGTGTAGGGTGATCGAGCAGTATCTAACACAATCAGAAAGTACCTTTGGATCGGTGTAAAATGATGGTTCGAAATATTGTATAGTAATCTGGTGCAAAAATGCCCGCACCGCTGACCTCATACGCTTCTGTTTCACACACTTTTAAATATAACATTATCAGTATGTGCAGAAAATATAGAGATCTGTCCGGTCGTGTTGAGTAGTAGAGATCAGCGAGTATGCGGGTGAGGCTCTAGACGTTGAAAGACGATGGGCTCAGAGGTGACAGGCAGGAGGTGCAGAGGTGCATCGGCAATGAAGGTGAGCTTGATAGTAGGTCGAGGGCGCTGACGGCTGTTTTCCTCCGGAAGCTGTCGACGAACTTTGAATACGCGTGATGAGATGAGTCATAGGTACAGTGAACTAACGTCCCCATGCGCGAGGGTCAGGCAATGTTGCACAATGAAAGAAAAGCGGCTCCCTTTGATCTACACCCCCCACTACCGACTAGAACTCTACTCAGCTGATAAGATCTCAGGCTCACCCTTCTCTCACAGTCAAAGTTTTTCGCGCACTTTGTACTTTAGGCTGCGGTCACTCTTCCACCTCTTACAATATCGTACAAGTATTGAAGCCTTTCTACATTACACAGTGGAGTAGCAAGGCTCCAAAACTCGCACGAAATGGGGAGGGACCTAGTGATTCATGCATTTCGATGCCCAATAAGTCTTTATAAATTCTCATCAGATCGTATCGGCAACCATCTACGATGTATTTACTTCCTGAATCTGTTTCCAATGTGAAGTGATTCCGCTGTAACCGGAAAATATCAGCGGAATCATGTTACATTGGAAGGAGATTTAGGGAGTGGAGACAGTTAGTTGACGGTAATTTTCGTTAGTTTAGCCCATAACTCACCAACCTTGCGAAAGGTGGCAGTCCTACCACAGCAACAGTGTTGCCGTCCTGCTGCATGCAATTTTCGTGGACGTCGCGCCCTCCAAGAGCGTCCAGTCCTGCCACCAGCCGACAGTGCTTCCATCCTGTTCCAAGCATCATTTATAGCTTTGAATGCTTCAGGTCTAAAAACAGTTTTCGCACATGCTCCATCCTCTCTCCAAAGGCGGAGTAAAGTTCTGTCACCTACCAGTGATGTTGCTATCCTGCCTTCCCTTACCGAATTTTAGCGCTCTAGGCTCATGGGAACAGAATTATCGTTATCAATTAAAACACCCATACCGACACACATATATAATGCATACGCACAAACAAACACAAACACACCTATAAAGCAACAGACACATTGAGCGAGTTATGTGTAGCAGGGTTGGATGTGCAGATTAGGGAGACAGTGGGTACTTCAGGATTACGTCCCTTGGCTGCATTCGTTTGACAGCGTTTACCCTTTCTTTCGCATTTCGGAACGCTTTGAAATAGAGTTATCGGCGTTGATTCATTGCCCTGCCCACTTCTGTCCAGACCTTCTGTCAGAACAAAGTTACAGATCTATGTATATCGAGGGACGGACCACTTCGATTAGCCTCCGGCCACCGGAGATGAGTCTCCTTCGTTCGATTTGTTGGCCCTTTTGTAGCCTTGTTTACCGGTGTCTGAGCTTCTTCTGAAGCTCAAGTACTTTTGCCCCAGGCACTGCCCATTCCGGCGCATGTACCGCCCCGTAGGCAAGGTCTCGCTGAACCCTTTTGTGCTCTGTTGCTCTTGCTCTAAGTCCACTCCCTTCGAAGTTGACTGTGAATGAGCGGTCGTGGTCATGTGATGCATGCGTTAGAATGAGTAGCCCAAGTGGTTGGTTTTCTGACGTCGCGATCAAATGGGACCATATCCCGAGTTGGAAAGACGGCTCTGTGTTTATATGGGTATTGTATACGTATAGGAAATATATTAGTCATATTCTTGTTGTAGCATCGTCACAGTGGTGCACTGACTAGTTAGACGCAAGCCCAGGTTGGACAGCACATCCTGTGCGTAAAGGGAAATCTTGCATAGAACAGTTAGTCCTCAGAGTTACTGCGGGTGCAGTAACACATATAGGACATGGCACGGGAGACCAGGGCTGCAAGAGTCTACAAGCCCGCGTGGCAAAGAAAGTAGAAATAGGCGAGCGGGTTTCCCCGGAACGAGCTCACGCCGACTTTTTATCTGGCCTCAAGTAGTCCTCTAATCTATGAATTTTATGATAAATACTGCTCAGTTCAAGAATCTCCGACCCACCACGGGTGAGCTCCTCCTTGATCCTCCTATTACATTTCCTTTCTTTGCCCATCTTTTTCCGGTATATGAGCAGTTCTTAAGCTGATTAGGGAACTTTGTTTTGAAACCGACTATATCGGTGTACTTTAGACCCTCCGTAAATAAATACACTGGTGTGCAAAACTTAGGGACGAAAGCAACTTTCGATCACTGAACCTCTGCCAGACGACAGAGCTCGATGGAATTTAAATTTATAGAGGATCATTACGGTATTGCACAGGAAGTAACTGGCAAAAAATCGAAATAGGACTAGCAAATAAGGCCTTTTTATTGAAAGGTATCGATTACACATAGTTCCTCACAACTTATCTTAGTACTTCAAAAAAAGCAACGCGGTTCCCCCATGGAGTATGTGATCACCACGGACAGCAGTAAATGCTTTGCAACGCGATCCCATACTTTCCACGTGGTTGTAAATGAATTATTGTGGTAGGGCATTTCACTCCTCTG